AGGATCATGCCATCCTCAAATAGGGATAGTTTAACTTCCTAGTTCCCAATTTGTATCCCTTTGATATCTTTTTCTTGCCTACTGGCTCTAGCTAAAACTTCCAGGGCTATATTGAATAGCAACGGTGAGAATGGACATTCCTGTCTGGCATCAGATCTCAGTAGGAATGCTTCCAACTTTTCCCCATTCAATATGATATTGGCCATGGGTTTGTCATAAATTGCCTTGATTGTGTTGAGGAATGTTTCTTTAAAAGCCAGTTAGTTTTCATCATGAAAGGGTGTTCTATTTTATTGAATGATTTCTCTGTAACTATTAAGATAACTATATGGTGTTTGTATTTAGTTTATTAATGAGATGTATTACATTGATTGATTTGCAAATGTTGAATCATCATTACTTACAAGGGATAAATCCCATTTGGTCTGGGTGAATGATCTTCCTGATGTGTTGTTGGATTTGATTGGCCAGAATTTTGTTGAGGATTTTTGCACCAATGTTTATCAGGGAAATTGGTCTGTAGTTATATTTCTCTGTTGCATTTTTTCCAGGTTTAGGAATTAAGGTGATGCTGGCTTCGTGGAAAAAATTTGGGTGGATTCCCTCCCTTTCAACTGTTTTGTATAACATGAGAAGAATTGGAGTTATTTCTTTAAATGTCTGTGGAATTCATCTGTGAAGCAATCTGGTCTGGGCTATTCTTTGTTGGGAGGACCTTTATTACTATTTCAGTTTCTGTCTTGGTTATGGGTTTGTTTAGGATTTTTATGTCTTTATGGCTCAATTTATATAGGTTGTATTTGTCCAGGAATCTATCCATTTCTTCTAGGTTTCTGTCTGTGGCACACAGCTCTTTCTAGTGGTTTCTGATGATTCTTTTTATTTCTGTAGTTTCTGTTGTTACATTTCCTTTTTCATCTTTAATTTTATTGATTTGGGTCTTCTCTCTCCTTTTTTTAGTTTGGCCTATAGTTCATCAATTTTGATTTTTTTTTTTCAAAACACTAGCTTTTCATTTTGCTGATCTTTTGTATTTTTTGTTTCAATTTTGTGGATTTCTTCTCTAATTTTAATTTCTTCACTAGTTTTGGGTTTGGTTTGCTGTTTTTCTAGATGCCTGAGGATCTAGATAGTTCATTCCTTTTGTGCCTTTCCAGTTTCTTGATTTAAGCACCAAATGCTATAAACTTTCATCTTAATACTGCTTTTGCTGTACTCCACCAATTTTAGTATGTTGTATTGTCATCTTCATTTGTTTCCAGAATTGTTTTGATTTCTCTTTTGATTTCTTCTATGTCTGGTGTTCCTTAAGAAACATGTTCATTCTATATGTGTTTGCATATGATGTGGAGATTCTTGAGTTTTTCATTTCCAGCTTCACTGCTTTGTGGCCTGAAAAGATGTATAAAAGGATTTAATTTTTTTTTAAATTTGTTCAGACTGACTTTATGGCCTAGCATGTGGCCAATCCTAGAGAAAGTTCCATGCAGTAGGAAAAAAAAATGTATACTCTTTTGCTTTTGGAAGATTTTGTAGATACCTGCTAGGGCTATTTGGTCTGTTGTTGATTAACTCTATTGTTTCCTTGTTGATGTTCTGTTTAGTGGACCTTTCCCGGCTAGATGTGTCTATATCCCCTTTAAATCTCTGAACAATTATTTCAGATAGCCATGTGCCCTGTACTTAGATGCATATACATTTAAAATAATCACATTTTCCTGTTGAATTGATCCTTAAATCATTATATAGCATCCTTCTTTGTCTCTTTTAATAGTTTTTGTGTTAAAGTCTATTTTGTCTGACATTAGGATATCCACACCAGATTTTTTGGTTTCTATTAGCATGGATTATCTTTTCCATACCTTCACTTTCAGTCTGCATATGTCCTTGTTGGTAAGGTATGTTTCTTGTGGGCAGCAAATAGATAGCTTTTCTTTTTTAATTGATTCATTATGTGTATTTTAATTGGGGAGGTGATACCATTTACATTCAGTGTGACTATTGTTAAGTACCGACTTTGCCCTGCCATGTTTCCATAAATAGTCCTGTTTATGTATTTTGGATTTCATTTGTATGTTCACTGGGTCATTTTCTGCATTCCTCTTCTTTTTAGTGATGTTCCTGTTTCTGTGTTTCTGTATGTAGCACATCCTTGAGCATCTTTTGTAGGGCTCGGCAAGTAGTTACAGATTCTTTCAATTTCTGATTGTTCTGAAGATCCTTATTTCTCCTTCATTCATGAATGAGAGTTTTCCTGGGTACAGTATTCTGAGTTGATTATTCTCTTAGGACTTGGAACATGTCTTGCCATTTTCTCCTTTCCTGTAGCGTTTGCAGTGAGAAGTCCAGGGTGAGTCTAATTGGGTTTCCTCTGAGTGTGATTTGTTGTTTCTCTCATGCACCTTTTAAGATCTGTTCTTTGTGTTTTACTGAGGTGAGTTTTCCTTCAGTGTGTCATGGTGAAGTTCTTTTCTCATCATATCTATTGGGAATTCTGTGTATTTCTTGTACTTGGATATCTCTTTCTCCTGATTGTGTAAGTTCTCTGTTATTATTTCATTAATCAGGCCTTCTAAACCCTTCTCTCTTCACATCTTCTGCATTTCCTAGGATCCATAAGTTGGGTCATTTGATAGAAACTTGTAAATTTCCAACCATGGTTTTGAGTTTTCTTTTTTTTTTTTTTTGCTTGAAAATATTTTTTTCTTTTATTTAATGAATATAAATTTCCAAAGTACAGAATATGGATTACAATGGCTTCCCTCCCATAACGTCCCTCCCACCCGCAACCCTCCCCTTTCCCACTCCCTCTCCCCTTCCATTCACATCAAGATTCATTTTCGATTTTGAGTTTTCTAATTTATTCTTTTGTATTTGGTCTTACTAAACTATTTCCAGAAGTTTGTCTTCTAGTTCTGATATTCTTTTTGTCCCTTCTATTCTATTGCTAAGACTTTCTACTGCAGCCAGCACCACAGCTCACTTGGCTAATCCACCACCTGCAGCGCCGGCACCCTGGGTTCTAGTCCTGGTTGGGGCACTGGATTCTGTCCCAGTTGCTCCTCTTCCAGTCCAGCTCTCTGCTGTGGCCCGGGAGTGCAGTGGAGAATGGCCCAAGCACTTGGGCCCTGCACCCCATGGGAGACCAGGATAAGTACCTGGCTCCTGCCTTTGGATTGGCACAGTGCACCAGCTGTAGCAGTTATTTGGGGGGTGAACCAACGGAAAAAGGAAGATCTTTCTCTCTGTCTCTCTCTCTCTCTCACTGTCTAAATCTGCCTGTCAAAAAAAAAAAAAAAAACTTTCTACTGCATTTTTTATTTGACCTATTGAATTCTTCATTTCCAGTATTTCATTGTGGCTTCTCTTTAAAATCTCAATTTCTTGGGAATGCTTTTTATTTAGATCTTGAGTTTGTTTCTGATTGCTTTTAAGTAATCTATTAATTTTCTGAATTCCTTTTCTGGCATATCCTCGTTCTCTTCAGCCTCCATTTTTTAAAATTTTTTATTTTTATATTTTACAGATTTTATTTATTTATTTGAGAGGTAGAGTTACAGACAGTGAGAGGGAGAGACAGAGAGAAAGGTCTTCCTTCCATTGGTTCACTCCCCAAATGGCCGCAACGGCCAGAGCTTTGCCGATCCGAAGACAGGAGCCAGGAGCTTCTTCCTGGTCTCCCATGTAGGTACAGGGGCCCAAGGACTTGGGCCATCTTCTACTGCTTTACCAGGCCACAGCAGAGATTTTGACTGGAAGAGGAGCAGGTGGGACTAGAACTGGCACCAACATGGGATGCAGGCACTGCAGGAGGAGGATTAACCTACTATGCCATGGCACCAGCCTTCAGCCTCCATTATTGAAGATTTGTATGGCTCCTTGGGGAGTTCATAGAGTCTTCCTTATTCTTATTTGGGATTTTTCCTTTGTTCTTTAGTATTTCTAGTTGATTTTATTTTTAAAGTGTGACTTTGTGCCTGTGACATGATTTCCCTTTGGTATGAGCTGCTATATGTCTCTGTTTCAAGTGGAAGCACACAGCCCTGCCTCCTGAAGCCCTGTTTACTTCTAGATCAGGATGGAGGTGGGTACCAGGGCTTTGGTGCACTCTGCCTCGCCTACTTGGGGCTGGACTTACTTCTCAGTGGTGCCAGACATGAGCTTGGGCTTTCACTGTTTAGGACTACTCCTCGGTGTACAGCTTGTGTTACGGCGAGGAAATCACTCTGAAATGTTCTGATCCTTGTTCCTGGGTAGGGCATGTTGTGAGGTGGCCCCCGCAATTGATTGGTGTGTGTGTGGAGGCAAACACAGTAGCCCCCTGCTTATACTCGAAAATGCAAATAATCAAATTGGCTTTTCCCTGCTGGCTCTAGGTCTGGTTGGGAGAAACGCAGATGGACCATGGCGTGCCCAACCTCTCTGCCAGTTCCCCTACAATTTCCTTCCAGCTTAGAGCTTCAAATGTAGTTTGCCAAGGTTCCCCGCCCACTGCTATCTGCAGACTTCTCACCTGGTCCTGGGGGCAGGCAATCACCTCACTCCATCCCTCTACCGCTCCTTCACCATCCATCCGCCACCTGTTCCTCCTCTTTGTTCCCCTAGCATGGACCTGCGCAGTCTCTGGTGGACTCATGGGCCACTCTGCATGAACTTTTTGTGATTGTGCTACTGGCTTGTATCCCCTCTCCTCTCTAACTAAGCATTTTACCCCATGTGACTCGGAACATCTAGGTGCTATGCCACCATCTTGGCCCCCTCCTTCTTGAACATGTTTTTACTAAAGAATTTTGTCTCAGTAAATGTTTAAAATAAAATATAGAAAATATTCTCATTGGTAATGATCTATTTTTTCATCTGCTTTCTTTTTAGTGAAAAAGAAGCTTTAATTTGTGTAAATTCTTGGCCCTTCTCTTCTTCCCATATTCACTAATTAAAGGAAATGATGAATTTTGTGGCTGGTCAATGAGACAGGAATAAGCCTAATATGGCCCAAAAGATTCTCATCTACTACTTTTAATACTCTTTATCATCCCTTCCCTTTCACCATCAATAAAATGTAGGAAGATGCTGCAATCCATTCCCGAAATACATTACAGTATATGGCAAAGGTGAAGAGGTTTCGCAGATGTAATTCAAGTCTCCAATCCATCTGCCTTTAAATGAGTCAAAAGGGAAATTATTCAGAATTGCCCTTACTTTTATTGGTGAGTCCCTAAAAGAACATTTAGGCTTTTGTTGATAGCAGAGAGATTATGTGTCTGGTCTTAAAAAAACGAGCTAGCATGTGCTCCATGGCTGTAAGGAAAGGAACACCAGCAGCAGTACCACTAGATTAGAAGAGGACCCAGAGACTCAGCCCTGGCCAGTGTCCGTATTGCAAGTGTGATGCCCTGAGCAGAGGACCCAGACCAAGTTGTATGTGAACTTCAGACATACATAAGAGAAAATATACAGTGTCAGTTAAGGCTCTTCAGTTGATAATGTCATTTATGCAGCAATAGAGAGTAATACAGTGAGTTCTGAAGAGGTCAGTGAGAAAATATTTTTCAATCTTTGTATGGAGCCTGACAACAGGAAGCAGAGGATATGGACTGGCAGTGTGGCACAGGGGGTTAGGCCACCATGTTGGAGCACCAGTTCATGTCTCAGCTGCTCCTCTTCAGCCCCAGCTCCCTGCTAATGCACCTGCGGAAAGTACTTGGGGCCCTGCCACCCCTGTGGGAGACCTGGGTGAAGTTCTCAGCTCCTTGTTTCAGCCTGGCCCCGTGCCAGCCATCACAGTCATTTGGGAAGTGAACCAGCAGATGGAAAATCTGCCTCTTTAACTCTCTCTCACTCTCCATTTCTGTCTGTCTGCCTTTTAAATAACTAAATAAATAAGTCTCTTTAAAAAGATGCATAGAATTCTCACTGCTAGGAAATTCTGTGATTTGGTAGCTGTGACAGTACCTCTATTGCAAATCAAGAGAAAGTAACAGCAAATACTCTTCTCACACATATGAAAATCGTATTATTCAATAAACATTAATGCAAAAGTTACAGTTTAGATCTTAATCTAAATCCTAAACCATGTCTCCTATAATTCTGAATTAATTTGAAGGAAAGAAATAACCATTCTTTATTGCATGCTCACAAACCTGAAGACCACAATATTTTCATTTGCCATACAATCATGATGCAATATCAATATTGTACAGCATTACCATGAACCAAGAAAATCGAGAGAAAGAAAGCAGCCAGAAAAATGAAGGGCATCCTGGGGAAATGTCATTTCTCCATCAAAATCTAAAATGATTTCAATGTTATTATCCAAACAATCACCCCTGACTTTCATTATCTTCTTCCTGATGTTAAATGGGTTGAAAATATAACTTACCCTTTTTAAATGCGCAATTGCAAGGATGGTCACAGTAGAAGAAAATCATTGCAACACAGTATCCTTGAGTGACGTCCTAGAGTTTTTAGAATTAATTGACATAACTGGCAGTTTTGAGCTTCCTAAATCTCCTTGGCAGAAATACTCTCCCAGTTGTTTTTCCAGAATGAGGATGACAATGTTCTTAAATAAAATTGTCACTAAATTTCCTTTCAAATTCTGACTGCATGATTGAATAAATGTAGTCTACTGGAACTGTGAAGATAAGTATTTCATGACAGTTAATATATTTCATATGCAAATGTTTTGGCCTCTTTTTATATTGGAAACAAGGAAGAAAATTGTGTTATTGATTTAATTTAGAACATACTATCAAATCAGATGCATAAATCCCTGAAATTAAATAGGTATTTTATTGTATTATGCTATGAAAATAGCACACTTTGTACCAAATACAATTCTGTGACAAGATTCTGATTTCAGTATGCATGATGTACTATCAGAAAGAAATGTTTTATTAAATTTGAATTACTAATGTAAAATCTGTAGCCATTATAAATATGTATATATACATGAAGGTACATCAAAAAGTTCACATCAAAAAAAATTAAAAGTTCAGGGGTAGATGCTGACCTAGCAGTTAAGTCATTGGTTGGGACATGTACGTATTGGATTGCTGGTTTCTGACTTCACTCCCAGTTCCATCTACCTGTAATAATGCGTCTTGAGATGACGGCATTCATGGCACTAGTAGCTGTGGCCCTGTCTCCTACATGGGAAACCTGAGTAGCGTTCCTTGCACCTGGCTTCAGTACTCTGGCTTTGCTAAGATCTGGGGAGTGAACCAGCAAATGGGAGTTCTCCCTTTCTCTATATCACTGTCTCTGTAATTAAAATAATAATAATAATTTTAAACACATTTTGGTGCAAATTTTGAAACTCCTGAGTTTAAAAAAAATTTGTGAGAAGTCTTCAAAAAGCCTGTGTAAAATGTATCTTATAAAAAAAAGTCCTTGCATGGATTTCAAGGTTTTTGTATCAAAATAAATTTTAATTTCATTGTCCATGATTTTTTAAGGTTTTTGCTTTGCTTGGTTTTAATTTGAGAGGCAAAAAGAGAGAGTTCCAGTCACCTTTTGTTCCCAAATGCCCATGATGGCTGGTGTTGGTTCAGGCCAATAACAACAGCCAGGAACTTAATCCAGGATTCCCATGAGGATGGCAATGATCTGACTACTTAAGCTATCTCTTCCTGCCTCCCAGGGTCTGCACTGGCAGAGAGCTGAAATCAGGTGCCAGAGCTAGGACTGAAACACAGGTACTCTGAAATATCTCTCACATTCATATACACTTCAATTTAGACTTACACTCCAGCTTCCAAATTTTCATGTAAATTTCTACACACCGGCAAATATAAAATCATCCTACATTTTATCATGAATAAAACTGGTCCCTTGAAACATTAGAGAAATCTGTATGTTTTCACCTATATATATGATTTTTTTACATTGCTTTTAATTGAATTTCACTTGCTTTTCTGTGTACCTACTTTAATTTCATCCTAATTTATTACTTCAATCTAAATATAAATTCCACTTACTAAAACTGTCATGATTTATCATTCCACATAAGAGTTTTAAGTCTGATAAATATTTAAAATTGAAGTTATGCTGCATAAGAAATATATTAATTTGGATATTTTGAAGTTTATGAATTATCTTTGCATAGCTGTCAGTTCAAAAAATAAAATATTTCCCAGTCTTCTCATACCAATTGCCTTTCCTTCATACTTAAAAACAGGTAAGATTTTTAAAAGCTTTTATTTAATGAATGCAAACTTCACAGGTATAACTTTAGGAATATAGTGGTTCATCCCCCCATACCCGCCCTCCTGTCCCACCTCCCACTCCCTCTCCCATCCATTAAGATTCAATTTTTTAACTTGACATACAGAAGACCAACTCTATACTAAGTAACAATTTCAACAGTTTGCACCCACAAATACACACAATGTATAAAGTACTGTTTAAGAACAAGTTTTGTAGATAATTCTCTTAGTATAACTCCTTAAGGACAGAGGTCCTACATGGGCCGGCCTCCTTGTTGATTTTCTGTTTCGTTGATCTTGCCATTGCTGAAAGAGGGGTATTGAAGTCCCCCATTACTATTGTATTTGAGTCTATATCTCCCTTTAATTCCCTTAATTCTTTCAAATAGCCAGGTGCTCTGTAATTAGGTGCATATACACTTACTGTAGTCACATTTTCCTGTTGAAATTATCTTTTAATCATTATATAGTGTCCTTCCTTGTCTCTCTTAATAGTTTATTTTGTCTGATATCAGGATGTGCACAGCAGCTCTTTTTTGGTTTCTGTTAGCATGGGTTATTTTTCCATCCTTTCACTTTCAGTCTGCGTGTGTCTTTGTTGGTAAAATGCATTTCTTGTAAGTAGAAAATAGGAGGGTTTTGTTTTTTTTTTTAATCCATTTACCAATTTGTCTTTTAATTGGGGAGGTGATACATTTACATTCAGTGTGGCTATTGTTAAGTACCAACTTTGCACTGCCATGTTTCTGTAAATAGTCCTGTTTATATAATTTGGATTTCATTATTACGTTTGCTGGGTCATTTTCTGAGTCCATTTTCTTTTGTAGTGATGTTCCTATTTCTGTGTGTAGCACATCCTTGAGCATCTTTTGTAGGGCTGGGCAAGTAGTTACAAATTCTTTCAATTTCTGCTTGTTGTGGAAGATCCTTATTTCTCCTTCATTCATAAATGAGAGCTTTACAGGGCACAGTATTCTGGGTTGACTGTTTTCTCTTAGGACTTGGGATATGTCTTGCCATTTTCTCCTTGCCTGTAGGGTTTTAGGAGGAGGATTCGTGGGTGAGTCTAATTGGGTTTCCTCTGCATGTGATTTGTTGTTTCTCTCATGCACATTTTAAGATCTGTTCTTTGTGTTTCACTGAGGTGGATTTTGCTTCAATATGTCATTGTGAAGCTCTTTTCTGGTTGTATCTATTGTGAGTTCTGTGTACTTCTTGTACTTGGATGTCTTATTCTTTCTCCTGATTGGGGAAGTTCTATGTCATTATTTCATTAAGAAGGCCTTCTAATCCTTTCTCTCTTTCCACACCTTCTGGAATTCCTAGGACCCATAAGTTGGGTCGTTTGATGGAATCTTGTGAATCTCCAACCATAATTTTTAATTTTCTAATTTCTTCTTCTGGTATTTGGTCTGACTGTATTATTTCTGGATAATGGTTATTTAGTTCTGATATTCTTTCTTCTCTGTCTTCTATTAAGATTTTCTACTGTATTTTTATTTGATCTATTGAATTCTTAATTTCTAGTATTACTTTGACTTCTCTTTAATATCTCAGTTTCTTTGGAGTGTTTTTTATTTAGATTGTGAATTTGTTTCTGATTGCTTCTAATTAATTTGTCTATTAATTTTCTGAATTCCTTTTCTGGCATATCCTTGATCTCTTCTTGAACTTCATTATTGAAGACTTGTTGTGTTCCTTTGGGGAGTTCCTAGAGGCTTTCTTATTCTTTTTCATGGATTTTCCTTTGCTTTTCTGGTTGATTTTATCTTTAATTTGTGCCTGTGGTGTGATTTCCTTCTGCTATGAGCTGCTATGTGTCTGTGCCTTGCCAGTGACATACCATTTTAATATTTTTGTACACATAATAAAGACTTTGTAAAAATTCCCACTCTACTTTAAAAATGTAACTCTATTATTCCATTTTATGTTCTATTTTGAATCTGTTTCAAGTTTTCCTTTTGGGCTAGCTTAATTAACATGTTGATTGTTGTTTTCTACAAGCACATATGAGTACTATTTCTTCTTTTCAAATATAATTGCTTTTTATATTTCTCTTAAAACAGAAGATTATTCTGAGAACATAACAACAGAGAAAAACTAATTGCATCACAAACAAATTTCTGATTGAAAGAACTGGAAGTAAAATAAAGATCTCAGGATTCAGAGGTGGAGAACAGCTCATTTAACTGACAGAGGATGCATGCAGGGTTCATTAGAGAATGAGGTATATAGGTGCAAGGAAATGTATTGACAACTTTGCATACTGTATTAAAAACTAAATAAAGGGAGGAGAATATTCACTGACACACAGCAGGTTAAGCTGCTTGCAACTCCCATATTCCACATCAGAGTGCTGGTTCAAGTCCCAGCTGTACACTTCCATTCCAGCTTCCTGCTAATGAGCCTGGGATCTCCAGATGATGGTCCACATAAACATGAGTGCCTGCCACCCATGAGGGAGACATGAATGGAACTCCTAGCTCTTGGCTTTGGCCTGGCCTAGTGTCAGCTGTTGTGGATATTTGAGAAGTGGATTAGCAGGTAGAGGATCTGTGCATGTGTGTGTGTTGAGGGGGGGGATCTTCTTCTCTGCTGTCTCTCTGCCTTTCAAACAAATAGGTAACACTTTAAAAAATAAGGGAAAGGAAGGGAAATAAAAAATTCTGAATGTTCAGAACAATCGAAAGAGAAGGAACCCTCCCAAATTCTTTCTATGAAGCCAGCATCACCTTAATTCCTAAGCCTGAAAAAGATGCAGCATTGAAAGAAAATTACAGACCAATATCCCTGATGAACATAGACGCAAAAATCCTCAATAAAATTCTCGCCAATAGAGTACAACAACACATCAGAAAGATCATCCACCCAGACCAAGTGGGATTCATCCCTGGTAGGCAGGGATGGTTCAATGTTCACAAATCAAACAATGTGATACACACCACATTAACAAACTGCAGAAGAAAAACCATATGATTATCTCAATATATGCAGAGAAAGCATTCAATAAAATACAACACCCTTTCATGGTGAAAACTCTAAGCAAACTGGGTATGGAAGGAACATTCCTCAATACAATCAAAGCAATCTATGAAAAACCCACGGCCAACATCCTATTGAATGGGGAAAAATTGGAAGCATTTCCACTGAGATCTGGTACCAGACAGGGATGCCTGCTCTCATCACTGTTATTCAATATAGTTCTCGAAGTTTTAGCCAGAGCTATCAGGCAAGAAAAAGAAATTAAAGGGATACAAATTGGGAAGGAAGAAGTCAAACTATCCCTCTTTGCAGATGATATGATTCTTTATTTAGGGGACCCAAAGAACTCTACTAAGAGACTATTGGAACACATAGAAGAGTTTGGCAAAGTAGCAGGATATAAAATCAATGCACAAAAATCAACAGCCTTTGTATACACAGGCAATGCCATGGCTGCGGAAGAACTTCTAAGATCAATCCCATTCACAATAGCTACAAAAACAATCAAATACCTTGGAATAAACTTAACCAAGGATGTTAAAGATCTCTACGATGAGCATTACAAAGCCTTAAAGAAAGAAATAGAAGAGGATACCAAGAAATGGAAAAATCTTCCATGCTCATGGATTGGAAGAATCAGTATCATCAAAATGTCCATTCTCCCAAAAGCAATTTATGGATTCGATGTGATAAGAACCAAAATACCAAAGACATGCTTCTCAGACCTGGAAAAAATGATGCTGAAATTCATATGGAGACACAGGAGACCTCGAATAGCTAAAGCAATCTTGTACAACAAAAACAAAGCCGGAGGCATCACGATACCAGATTTCAGGACATACTACAGGGCAATTGTAATCAAAAAGGCATGGTATCGGTACAGAAACAGATGGATAGACCAATAGAACAGAATAGAAACACCAGAAATGAATCCAAACATCTACAACCAATTTATATTTGCTCAAGGAGCTAAAACCAATTTCTGGAGCAAAGAAAGTCTATTCAACAAATGGTGTTGGGAAAACTGGATTTCCACATGCAGAAGCATGAAGCAAGACCCCTACCATTCACCTTACACAAAAATCCACTCAACGTGGATAAAAATCTAAATCTACAACCCGACACCATCAAATTATTAGAGAACATTGGAAAAACCCTGCAAGATATAGGCACTGACAAAGACTTCATGGAAAAGACCCTGGAGGCACAGGCAGTCAAAGCCAAAATTAACATTTGGGATTGCATCAAATTGAGAAGTTTCTGTGCTGCAAAAGAAACAGGAAAGTGAAGAGGCAACCGACAAAATGGGACAAAAATATTTGCAAACTATGCAACAGTTAAAGGGTTAATAACCAGAATCTACAAAGAGATCAAGAAACTCCACAACAAAAAAAAAACAAGCAACCCACTTAAGAGATGGACCAAGGATCTCAATAGACATTTTTCAAAAGAGGAAATCCAAATGGCCAACAGACACATGAAATAATGTTCAAGATCACTAGCAGTCAGGGAAATGCAAATCAAAACCACAATGAGGTTTCACCTCACCCCAGTTAGAATGGCTCACATTCAGAAATCTACCAACAACAGATGCTGGCGAGGATGTGGGGAAAAAGGGACACTAACCCACTGTTGGTGGGAATGCAAACTAGTAAAGCCACTGTGGAATTCAGTCTGGAGATTCCTCAGAAACCTGAACATAACCCTACCATACAACCCAGCCATACCACTCCTTGGAATTTACCCAATGGGAAATTAAATTGGCAAACAAACAAGCTGTCTGCACCTTAATGTTTATTGCAGCTCAATTCACAATATCTAAGATCTGGAATTAACCTAAATGCCCATCCAGTAGACTGGATAAAGAAATTATGGGACATGTACTCTACAGAATACTATGCATCAGACTAAAACAATGAAATCTGGTCATTTGTAAGATAATGGAGGAATCTGGAAAACATTATGCTGAGTGAATTAAGCCAGTCCCAGAGGGACAAATATCATATGTTCTCCCTGATTGGTGACAACTAACCAAGTGCCAAAAAAGAAACC